TAAATAAAATCTCTATATCTGCATGTAAATGTGTGTGATTACATATGTAGTTTATGTTTATGCATATGTATAGAACACGTAAAGGCAGTACCTACATACAGAATGACCTCTGATGTTCAAAGAACAAATTTCTATACAAACGTGAACGCTAACAACGACTGTCCACATTGTGCCGAAACACCTCTTCCGTTAATCTGTATTTCCTACACTTGCAAATAACCTGTATATGAAAGATCAACTTTGAGATGTCCATGCAAAGATAATTCTGATAACATGCATATTATCTGGGTGTCATTGTTTGATTTAGATAAGTATTTATCTGTTAATACCAGGAAATATCATGGGTTCTAGGAAACCAGACATAAAGACTTTGCATAATCTTAACCAACTCGTGTTATTCCGGGACGAGCCGAATAACGATCTTCTTGGAGGTTACGTAAAGGGGCGAGTGATGACGAATGGACTTGGCACTGATGTTCCAAGAATGTCCAAGTGTTCAATAAACATTCTATAGCTGATTTAAATATAATTTGTGATAGGAACAGGTCTTTGATTGAGCTCAACAGTTCAACTCGTTCGAATTCTGACCAATATGATGCGATATGAACTTGACAACTTGCAGTCTTTTTTATCGTTTCTCATATTACAGATCAAATATAAAAAACAAACACTAACATTTAAACCTTTTTATGTTTTTTGAATTAATGGAAAACGGCAAAATACCCAATTGAGGTGAGTACAATTTATTCGGTAGCTCAAAGGAAAATTAGGATACCCAACATAAACGCAAGCGACTACATAACTCAGTGACCAAGGAACTTATCTGTAGCTCTGGATTCTAACTTAAGAGACACGTCATAGTTATATTCATTTATGGTGTCACTGTTTAATGTCAACTGATAACACTCTAATCTTGTTCTGAGAAACCTTAAGTGCGCCATTGCACTGTTCAAGGTCCGTGTCTAATTATTTGCCTCAAATTGATGTTTTTAACACTCGTAACAATTCTGTAGGTATATACAGCAGCTCTTTTTAAATTTGTTAGCAATTATCGAACTATATGATGATATTATGCAACGTCCATTGCGTGGCTAAATTAAGAGACACGTCTGCGTTATATTGGTGTCATCGTGTAAGTCGTGTATTACTTCTAGGAAGGTAACTCCGAGCTCCGACCTACGAGCTCCGTTCACAGATACCTGCCTTACACTAACGTTTCGGGAATGGCGAAGTGTTCTGTAAGTATTTAATAGCTAATATGATATTTGTCTTAGAATTAGCTCGAGACAAGACAAACCAAATATCTTCTCTTTATTCTTCCGCGATATAACAACAAATATGGGCATCTTTACAAGGTCGTGTGGTAAAGCGTTCGCCCGTCATGCCGGGGTTCGATTCCTCACATGGGTACAACGTGTGAGGCCCATTTCTGGTGTTCCCGGTCGTGATGTTGCTGGGATATTGTTAAAAGCGGCATAGATCTAAACTCACTGTAAATAAAGAGACACGTCAGCATTATATACACCTTACATTCAAACTGGCAATACATGGTAGGACCCCAAACTGCCTTAGTTCTCAGAAACTGGATAATTACTTTACTTGAATCGAATTATTATGAATGTTTGTCCTTTATGTGGACATATTCAAATGAGCTTTTGATTTTTTTGGGTAAGGAACACCTCTGGGCCAGTTGGCTAAACACATATCGTCTGAAACATTACCTGCCCCTACCGATAGTTCCAGAACGTCGAACATTTCTTAAAATGATCAGTAACCCATGTGAAATTTGTCCTAGAATCAGGCCTGATTGAGCTTGTAAGGTCATCTCCGTTTTGAGCAGTGCCCCAGTCATACCAGGGCGTGGCAGATAATGAGGGAGAGAGGTCAAAGGTTAGACTGTTGAAGCAGTATGGTGAAGTCCAGTCGTATGTTGCTGGCAGAAACAGGACCAATCTAATATTCAAACCCACGACCAGCGTATCCTGTCAAGTCAGATTGGGGTGTTAGGTATGATATATGTTTTGTCTGTTTATTAACAGTATGTCAGTCATGATTCACTTCCATATATTGCAGCACTTCAAAGTTACATGTGAAACTGAGCAAAACAGCCAAGCCCTGATCGACAGCCAAGGCAAACCATGGAGACAATGGCCTCGACAAGAGACGAAAATAAAAGGAATCTACGTTATCAAACAGGATAGACTGATCATCTATGTGGGGAGGTCCAAAGATGTAATCCACCGTCTGAGGTCACACTGCTCCGGAGACAAGCAAGCCATCGACAGACATATTGGTGTTACCCCTGCCTGGAGGCTCAGCTACAACTATGTGCCTGACACCGACCACAGCTGTACTGAGAACTGTTATTTAAAATACATTGCTAAGTTGCAAGGTCACTGGCCGGAGTACAACATGCAGAGAGGCAAGCGTGTTAACAAACAAGAAAAACGCCAGGAAAGTTTAACCCGTGACAAGGATACAACGTGTGTGATTCTCTGAAACGAAATCAATAATGTCATCAATCAATTAAAGAAGGAGAGTCAATTGACCGAATAATGTGTATATAATCTTTGCCACATTCTTTCACGATTTCACATGATACAGTGAGCTGTTGTGAAATGGGGTTTAACGTCATACTTGACAATATTTCGCTCATATGACGACGTGCAAGCGTGTGCATGTGTGGCTGCAAGCCCAGACAAGCTGGTTTTATAGTGCTAGCCCACTGAGATACCATGCTGCAGTGAAGCATGAATACCCCACTTAGACACATTATACTGACTCCGGGCCGACCAGTCTGCTTCTTTCAGTCTTCCGGCTTGACAAGTCTTCACCCACCTGTCTGTGATTCTTGATTCGTCATAGTGCGCGTGCTTCAAACACGATAAACTAATGACAAGGAGAGATTTGGTTCGTCTTACTCGGAAGCAATATAACCATAGGGTAAGGATGATATCCCATCATCGAGTATGTACCTTTTATTGTCAAAAGGAGACAACGAGACTTCCCTTACCTTCACTGTGTACAATGTATTGTGAAAAGACCTGATTTGGTGAAACGTAGAACAAAACTGTTTTCTATCGAACAGACACTCTTTTAACATCTCGTGTCTGAGGTGTTTTTTCACCCAGGTACGCTGTATACCCTTAGCACGTTTCTCCTCTATCAGTACAGCACTCTTTTCTCCTTCCTCGCTCTCTACTTCCTGCTTTACTACAAAACTGTAACATTTACTTTTCAATCCAACAAATTAAGTAATAATATGATGTGCAGTTTCTGATTTCATGAGACCCGGCTGTTTATGTCTTTCTGTGGTGTACAGTGGGTGAGACTTTGGAAAATTGGACGTGTCAAACAATTCCATATGATAGCTCATAAACAGATAAGGGTCCAGGAGGGGTTTTTACAGTGGGGCGCTCACGGCCAATAAGAGCGAATCCGTATCAGACATACACAGTTTCACCCGACCACCGTACTGTCTAACCAAAACATCATACCAGAAAGAATAGATTCTTCTCTTGGCATGTTCCAGTATACAGAATCCCACAGCAATGGGTTTGTTTAACGCGACCGAAGTACTGTTCGGAGAAAATATTGAGACGTTTGAAATTGCACTTGGCTGAACATTTCGTCAGTACATCGGTCACCAAACGAATGTCCTTGTACTTTCTACAGTTTTCAATCTGTTTTCCATAACACGCATTGCTCAAACGTTTGTAAAACTCTTTGGACGCGCTGTCAGTTGCCATTTTACGTTTGTGAGTGTTGACATCGATATAAGGTTTCATCCACGCATCCTGGGCGAATCTGACTACGGCGTGAATATGTTTCACTCGCATACCTAGTCTCAAATAACACTTCAACGTGTCCAAATGAACGATGTAGTTGTTTTTGTCATAAAGAGTGCAAAATAATGTTTTCCCACTCGATTTGGTTTTAGATAGACCTTTATATAAATATCTTCACAATATGGTGAAAATTCGCTCGACGGTATGTCCCTATGCATCGGTGCGGGAGGGAATGAAGAGAAGTAATCGTGTAAATACGGAGGGATTGTCAGATCACATTCTATCGTATAGCCATAGTCCCCGTCATAAGGGACAGCAATCCAGTCAATACTGTCAAACTCGTCAAACTCGTCACGCTCTAAGAACTCAAACTTCACCACGGCCAATGGCTCTGTCATACAAGTAGCGTTCAGGCTGTTCACGTCATAGTACAACAACTGACCCGTCTCTTTCGCAGGGTCGTACTCATCCCCCATGTGCACGTTGTTAATTTTGAAATAACGATGGGAGATGAAACTACATCCACCTCTGATGCCCTTCTCAAAATACCCGTATAAATCGGGGTGTGTTAAGAGTCGTAATTGTACACGGGTGAGCTTAAGGCAAGACATGTTCGAGAAACCTGGTAGACTCACAAAATGAAACGGTTCGATGCCATAGTCTGTCATACACATTGATCGAAACATTTGCATGACGTCGCATAACAGCAAAGTGTCCAACGACACTTCATTCATCGATTTCATGTCAAACGTATGCCAAAGTTCATAATCCGGATCCGAAACTCCTTCCTCGCTCAGTGAAGAATAAACTTGATCTTTGGACTGTAAAAAGTGCTCGCGCAAAATCTCAAAACTGCTTACATACTGACCGCCTCCGTGGTTTAGTGGTTAGAGCGTCCGCCCGGACAGTGGAAGGTCGCGGGCTCGATCCCCGACCGCGTCATACCAAAAAGACGTTAAAATATGGTACTTGTTGGGCCCCGCCTGGCGCTCGGCATTAATGGCTACAACAAGGACCGGTCGGCTCGGAGTCAGTATAATGTGTCTGAGTGGGGTATTCATGCTTCACTGCGGCATGGTATCTCAGTGGGCTAGCACTATAAAACCAGCTTCAGTCTGGGCTAGTACAAGCAGCCACACATACACATACACACGCATACACGTCGTCATATGAGCGAAATATTCTCAAGCACGACGTTTCGTTTCGTTTTTCGTCTCGTCTCGTCTCGTCTCGTCTCGCCTAACCTCACCTCACCTCACCTCACCTCACCTACAGGACTGTTATATCTCCTAAAATCCTACCAGCATCTACTTGACTACCGGACAAGGCGATGAATAGGGTTACCAAGAAGATAAGCTACTGGTTTAACAACACGGTACATGTGAACTTGGACCCATCTACCTCAAAACCGTTCATTCATATAAAGAAACGCAATTTAAAAGGAGAGAAAAGCGTAAGTCTAACGCCCGAGGCATTCACGGAACTTGTTCAGAAGCAGGAAGAGATTCTGGAGGTTGTAGAAGACCTCGAGCTGGTCAACTGTTGCGATCCTGATGTGGATGGCATCAATCGAATCCATCCGCATAAAAGACCCGGTAAGTCCCGAATTATTTACTTATTTCCATTCTTCAACAGAACTGCTGTATACATATTTCATTTAAAAATTAATAATCTACTTCTACATTCCATTTTAGATTCGATGATAAGACCTGTCTCACCACCACCTGGAACAGAATCTGTCAAGTCAAGACCAAGCTGTAGCGGATACACACATGTTGAAAATGGGAGCGAACACATCATCATCAACAACAACAACATCGTTGCACAGAACGGATGCGTGGCTCCCACACCTATGACAAACCCAAACACCACGCAACCTTGGAATGGATACGCGCCCTCTGAACCTCTGCCGGGCGGAAACAACCCACAGCCGTGGAATGGATACACGAGGTCAGAACCTCTGCAGTGGAACGGATATACGACCTCCCAACCTCTGCAGTGGAACGGATACACGGGCTCACACCTCCGCAGTGGAATGGATACGCGGCCTCTCAACCTCGGCCAGACCAAAATAACACACAGCAATGGAACGGATACACGAGCTCCCAACCTCTGCAGTGGAACGGATATACGACCTCCCAACCTATGCAGTGGAATGGATACGCGGCCTCCCAAACTCTATCAGACCGAAACAATATTCACCCATGGAACGGGGACGTAGCCCACAACGTGTACACGGACGTCAACAACTACAGCACCTGGACTCGACCTGAGGATGCTAGTACACTTGAAACTACCACTGACACTAACAAGTAGTATACTTCCTAGGAGTAATTCATTCATTCATACTTACACATGAGGTTATTATAATTAATAAAGAAAAAAAAAGTTATCATGTTTGTTATTTATTGACATTTTCTATCATCGGATATATACATATAGTAGATAGATAGTTAGATATGAATGAGCTTCGAGAAAGTGGATAGCGTTACTGCTGTCTTCAACTCGAACACAGCAGTTTGTTAGTGGTTTGTCTACCATTACAGTTGCTGACATTTCTATCTGACTATACATATACACGTGTGTTAAAGACAACCGTAACTGTACATAATTTGTCTGGAGTAAATTATCTTGAGGAACACCTCACGCAGAGTAAAATACACGCGAGCTCACACGCACAACACAACGAGACATACACCAGACCATTCGTGACCCACTCGTGTTATTCCGGGACAAGCCGAATACCGACTCGTTCCCCTCTCGAAGGCATTCGTCACCACTCGCCCCTTTCCGTAACCTCCAAGAAGACTCGTTCCCCACTCGATGCTTGTTATGTGCGAAAATACAGCAAACCAATCAGAATATTTCCAATTTTCTAAATAAGGTTTAATAATAAAAAATGGGAATTGTTTTATTGAATATACAAATAAAATAATATTTTTTCGGCTACATTAAATCCCAATGCAGATACTCAAAGAAATTACTTTAAAATGTTTCTCAAACTGAATACATTGTATTCGTGTAACCTTGCTGTCACACCCCTGGTGGAATTTTAAATGAATTCGCTGGAAAAAAAGAGAATGACCAACAAACAGTCAGACTAAAATATCCCCAGAGCTGTGAAATATAAGCCCAATGTTAAAGATTAAGGCTGATCAGCTACATACAAGTATGATATTATTGTTTTGAAACTCGAAGCGATTATAATTACATTTCCTAAAATTGGTCGAAGCGCACGTACAATCTCCATAACAAGCTCGCAAGCTCGACAGAAACACACTCCGTTGGACCCATGAGAGCCGTGTGTATTTGAATCTCTCACCGTCATTCGCATGATTCTTATTAAAAACTTCATAATAGCCAGCAAAATCCTGTTAGCTACGTTCTTTGTACTTTCAATATGACGATATATATTTTTGATGATTCTTTAAACAATGACATAATGCCATAAACGATTTAAGTACTCGGGATTATTTTTATCAAAGCACCGGGCTCATTTACGCGCGTTCTAATTGGTTTGTCGTATTTTCGCACATAACAAGTATCGATAGGGGGACGAGTCTTCTTGGAGGTTACGGAAAGGGGCGAGTGGTGACGAATGGCACCAGACGGATTCAACAACCTTAGGTGTGTAAACCGGAAGCTCTTCGCGAGCAGATGACAGTCCTGAAGCAGACGAACGGGTTCGTATCCAACCCATAGCGGACGATCAGTCGCTAGCAGACGACGAACACCTGTCGTCGCTCATATTCACACCGCTTAATTCTATAACCTCCTTTGTGTCCATTGTTACCACATCTTTAGGGAGTCTTTCTCGGTCTACTGCACCTTCAAGTACCTCCCTCCACGCTTCTTCGCTTTCCATTGAAATTGGGAGGTAACTGGTATCCTGGTGTCAGGGGTTTTCGACGATGTAAGACAAAAACGTAATTTTTATCTGTAAGTTTTTATTTTTACTAACCTCGAGTGATAAAGGATATATTCATCTATTTCACACAAAAATATCAAGTGTTTCCTACAAAAATAGCGTTGATGACATCGTATCGGCGAAGCAGTGGCCGCTCGTAACATCCGGGTATTTTGTATGGGTTTTCGACGATGAGCCATACTTTTTCCTCCGCACTGCGAGGGAGTGTTGTGATCACGTGGCTTCCTATTTATATAGTAGCCACATAAAGAAACTGTTCATTGTCAAAATATTATCCCAGTTGATAAATACGATAACAATGTCAAAGGTACATATAAACCTTAATGGAGACCATAACAAGTCGGGAGAATTTCAATTGAAAAGTCAATCACAATGACGTCACGAGTCCACAAGCGGGACAGGGGTCAAACGGGTATGTTCACCATCGGCATTGAGAACAGCAGTGAATCGAAGACGCATAGAGCCTATCAAACGTGCAAGGAAGGCTTGTGGGATGTCACGCCAGATTCTCTCAAGTTCTGTTGCAAGGTCAAGGACGTTATCTGGCGGATGAGGAAGACGGCGTAGACGTCGATCCATCTCGTCCCAAACATGCTCTATCGGGGAGAGATCCGGTGAATTTGCAGGCCAAGGCAGTAAGTCAACGTTGTGGTGTTGCAAGAAATCCATAGCAACCCTTGCCGTATGAGGGCGGACATTGTCCTGTTGGAATGTTAACCCAGGGCCATGACGTTGCAGAAAAGGAATTGCCACAGGTCGAAGAATCTGATCCCTGTAGCCCACACCAGTTAAATAGCCCTGAACAATCACCAAAGGAGTTCTTTGCACGTGCACGGAACCACCACCAAAGCGATTCCAATCACCAAATCACCATGACGTTGTGCAGACGTGAGCCTTGGCATGCAATGCGTTTTAATAGCCGTTTATCTTTTTTGAACGATCGCAAGGGCAGGGGTTGAGCTTTCCAAAGTGACAGTATTGTGTGGCATTCATTTGCTCTGTTTCTCTTTCCCGGAATTCACGTACAACAAGTAATTGCACGTCTCAAGGACAAACCCACTGACGTCACGGAACGTGGCACGTGCATGCATGTTGGATACATGTCACTCATCTCTGAATTTTTGTATGCACAGTTTCTTTATGTGCCTATAGTTTGGCATGAAATGCATGTGGACCCGTTTTTTTTGTAAATATCTCTTCATCCAATGATCCAATCGATCTCAAACTGTACAAGTGGATGTTTTGTCAGACAACCTAATCACATTGTAAATCAGCGATTGTATGCATTTGTATTAAAGAATCTGTCTATGTAACTGTCAACAAAAGAAACAGCAGAACGCAGACTGCTTGCAGAGGGAGGGCGCCAATGACCTGTAACAGCGGCAGTGTTGGGTCATAAAGGTCAACGTTGGTCAATGTAGGTCAGCTATGCACGTGACAGGTATGAAGAGGTGTCACAGGTCGTGAATAGGGTAAGGTGGGTGTCAACTGTTAACCATCATACGGAGTTTGTTTCTCTGAGTTGTTCAATAAACCACAAAACCCATTAGTGAGAATTATTCTGTAGGTTAAAATCTTTAAATTTGTAATGTTAATGTCAAATTTTGTTTATGCAGTACCTAAGTGGAAATGCATTTAAAGAACACAGGAAGTTTATTTACACTAAATCATTAATCGGACCACCTATGGTTAGAACTCAACAACTGTTAAAGCCCCGTTCCCTCGGACACAAGCACACACAATCATGCACACTCATTGAAGAAAAGATAGAATGAAGACAAAAGTGTTATGTTTTGATGTCGTTCACATTCCAAATTAAGCAATGCATTTCTAATAGCCTTAAGCATATAGATAGTTAATATTTATATTTTCATGATAAGTTTATGTGAAATGAATGTTTTATGTTACACTATAAGTCGTTGGAATTAGTCAGTGCTGTCATTGTTAAAAGAAGTTATATTTCTTTGAGCATATCTGGCTGGATACTATTATTATCTGTAAATATAATAACAGAATTAAACTTCATCAAGTTCACTCCAATCTTGCACAGAGGAGTCATCAGTGTCCAGACGAATGACAACTGGATTAACTGTTTGCTCCTTCAATCCATCTTTGAGCCAGTACTCTTTCTCCACCTTCTTGACATGTTCAACACATACATGCCAGAGTGCAATGTCAATGTCACTTATAGCAGTGTTTACAATGTGCTTGACATCATTCAACTTGAATGATTGATTTTTCCGGGCCACTGTACTTTTAAGGTCTCTCCAGATCAGTTCGATTGGGTTGAGATCACAGTGGTACGGTGGTAATCTCAAGACCTTATAGCCGTGTTGGCGTAGCATGTTGTCAATGTTATATGTGGGTGGAGGTTTGTTAGGTTTAAACAAAGAGTACAACTGTGGTTTAGTGGCCTTAACTAAAAATTGTATATTGTTATTTGTTAGCCATTGCTGCATATCTGACTTCTTTGTATTGGAAGTTGGGCACCTATTGTTTGGATCTCGAACACTGTGATAGGGAGCATTGTCCATGACAACAATACTTTTGTAAGGCAGAGCTGGCAACAATTGTTCCTCAACATACTGTGTGAAAACCGTTGAGTTCATTTCTGTATGATAGTCCCTACCATCTGTGCTCTTTGACCGAAATACCAGATCACACCTAGGTAGGAATCCACGGTGGGAACCAGCATGAAGAACGATTAAACGTTCACCTTTGCCTCTTGGTATTGTCCCACCATCACTGGGATCAGAGGGTAGCCACTGTCTGGCAGCAGTATGGTTTGCATTGACCCAGGTCTCATCCAGATATATAGGTTCGAACCCATCCTCTCTTGCCTGCTTAATTTCTCTCAGATAGTTACACCTTATTTTCACGATATCAGATCTCTCACGCATTACAAGTTTCTGGTTTGCTACCTTCTTGTACTTGTATCCAAATTTGAGCAGTAGTTTGCTTAGCATAAACCTAGAAACATTAATGTCGTGATCCTCTGCAAGGATGTGTTTTAACTTTCTTGTGGACAGGTGTTTATTTCTAGCAAATAGATGGGAATGACATCTCTGACGACCCTGATGTCAAAAGAATCTAACTTTGGATGCCTACCTTTTTGTACATGGTTTTGTTTATTGGTTGTTGGTTTATTTTTCACAATTTTTAGCACGATGTTCTTTTTCATGCCAAGAGCAAAAGTTGTACGTTTCATGTAATCCGACACCTTATAAATCGGTTTGCTACGTTTGCTCTCTTTTTAAAAAAGATTCAACACATTTCTAATTAAACGTTTATCATCATATGAATAAGCTTTCATGATGACAGCTAGAAGTAGTCAATGGGAATGATCCAAACGGTCTATCACTGTGCAGTGCACAGGTAACTATCATGAACTGCACGTGCATTTACCTTTCTTACCCAACACTGCCGCTGTTACAGGTCATTGGCTCCCTCCCTCTGCAAGCAGTCTGCGTTCTGCTGTTTCTTTTGTTGACAGTTACATAGACAGATTCTTTAATACAAATGCATACAATCGCTGATTTACAATGTGATTAGGTTGTCTGACAAAACATCCACTTGTACAGTTTGATAATCGATTGGATCACAGGATGAAGAGATATTTACAAAAACCGGGTCACCAGCAGACGACTGATCTTACTGAATTTTCGCTTGCTATTTTTTGTTATAAAGGCAGCTGATTTTGCATCTAAAGTGGTATTAACGATCTCGGGTAAATAATATTGATGTTTGTTTGCTTTTTATATAACTTTACTTCCCGATTTCCATTGTCAATAAAACTTCTCACGACAGCGACTGGGCACCCGCCCTACCAGTGAAACTGTTTGTGCACTCCGATCGCACACGTACTCCCCCGATATAGCGCGTGCAATGCAATCGTCGAATTCACCAGAACGTCGAATTCAGCTCGTGTTGGGATATTGTTGTCATGAACTCCTACTTTTTCCTCTACTCTGTCAATTTTCTTTACTTAAGACCATACATTTGTCAGGAACACGATATCAAATTATCGGGCTATATGATGAAGTTATGCAATGTCCATTGCGTGACTAAATTAAGAGATACGTCAGCTTTACATTGGTTATATTTATATCGGTGTCATTGTGTACGTCACACTTCATATACCCCGACAATACTCGGAATTGTATCACTTCTAGGAAACTGACTGTGCGCCATTGCTGTACAAGCTCCGTTCACAGATACCTGCCTTACGCTAAGGTTTCGGGAATGGCGAACTGTTCTGTAAGTATTCAATAGCTAATGACATTTGTCTTAGAATCAGCTCTGTGATTGAGTTCTGGGCGGTACTTTTGTCAGAGGTCGTGTCAGGTACATGTGAGAAGGTGGGCGGTGGGGTAGCCTGTTGGTTAAACAAAGTGCACATTTTCTGAGATTAAGTGATAGTAAAAGAACTAAACAATTCTTATAATTTAAAAGCTTGTCGAGATAATCTAGGATACGGTCTTTCAGAGTCTGTAATTGGTGGACACAAATGAAGAATGGTTATACAAATATCTATTGGTAAAAATAAGTAGTGATTTTGTTGAACGTCAGATACGTTAAGTAGATAATATATTTCAAACCAGCCAGAAAGGAAACCCGTTGCATCTTGCGAATGCTAGATAATTCATAAGAATTTAATACAACACAAGACAATAGCAAAATAAGTAGAATTGTTGCAGATGTAAAAACAACAACAATGATTTTCCATATTGTATTACACGTATCTGATGCTACAAAAGCAAAATTGGAGTGAAGTTTATCTCGCTTAGTTTCACACACGTTTGTGATACTGCTGTCATCGGTGCTTAAAAATCAATTGGTTTACAACTACTGCGCTGTACAGAATCCCTTCAGTTACAGATGACGAGTTCACGTATCTGATGAAAAATGAAAGTAACAAACCTTCTATTTCAGGTACGACCACATGTATCTTTTCAAGTTAACTTTAGAAAGAAAAGGCACATAACTGTTTTACAGACTGGGATGACTGGAAACGAAAGCACTCGTACAACTCGTTGTATGATTTTGAATATGTATTACTGGTCGATGACTAAACTGTATCAGGTATCTTATGGCAATATCAGGGACACAAATAATGCAATGTTTTTGGAAACAAATTTTCTTATGACTACCTAGTATTTCCTTTATGATTTTGCAAGTATATATATTTTCAAGTCCAATGAGATAGCATATTTACACAAATGGTTGCAATACGTGGAATTGTTATCAGGTACTTGCAGGAAGGACAAAGGAAATATGTAACAAAGGTCTATATCATGATGCGGTGTATAACAAAATTACTGGCACAAACACTGAGGTAACATGAATTGTGATACTGTGTGTAGTAAGAAGAAAAATACATTTCAGTAACAAAATAATTTATAAGACGACAGGGACAACGAAATACAGGAAATGTGCGTTAAGCGGAGAATCAATGTAAAGCGTCGTTTAATTAAAGAGACAAACCAAATATCCTCTCTATATTCTTCCATGATATAACAAAACCAAAATGGGTGTCTTTACAAAGTCTAGTGGTTCAATCGTTTGCTCATCACGCCGAAGATCCGGGTACGATTTCCCACATGAATACAATGTGTGAAGCCCATTTCTGGTGTCAACGCCGTGATATTGCTGGAATATTGTAAACGTAAGCGTAAAACTCACTCACTCACTCACTGTAAATTAAGAGACACGTCAACTTTATATACGCTTATAGTATCATCTTACATTCAAACAGGTAATACCCTCTCCTATACCCTCACCATGCAAGAATAACCTTCTATGTCCTATCCTCACTTCTACAAACACATACATATACTATGACTTTCGAAAAATCTCATTTGAAATGATCATGTGAAGGTAATACAGACGTATAAAGAAAACCAATGTTCATGGCGAGACACGTCAGCACTATATACGTCTATAGGATTACCTTACATTCAAACTGGCAGATGTGTCAGTGAGGTCAAAGGTTAGACTGTTGGACCATTCTGGTGAAATCCAATTATTGTTGCTGACAGATAAAAGACCAATCTTGGATTCAAATCCACGACCAGCAGATCCTGACAAGTTAGATTGGGGTATTAGGTTTGATATATGTTTTGTCTGTTTATTAGGAGTATGTCAGTCATGATTCACTTCCGTGTTACATGTATTGCAGGCGGAAACTAGGCGAAACAGCCAAACCCTGATCAATAACCCAGGCATTCGATGGAGACAATGGCCTCAACTACAGACTGAAGTAGCAGGAATCTACGTTATCAAACAGGGTAAATCGGTCATCTACGTGGGGAGGACCGGCAATCTAAACCAACGTCCGCGGGCACACTGCTACGGGAAGCAAGCCATCGACATACATATTGCTGATCCCGCCCCCCAAGAGGCTCAGCTACAACTATGTGATTGACCCCGACCAGAGGTGTAATGAGCGCTGTTATATACAGCACATTTCTCAGTTGCAAGGTCGGCGGCCGAGGTTCAACATAAAAGAAGGAGATGCGTGTGCCCAATGTGAGAGAAGATAACCGCGGTGACAAGGATATAGAATGCGCGATTCTCTGAAACGAAATCCAGAATGTCATTTAACTTTTAAAGAAGGAGATTTATCTGACTTACCTATAACTGACTGAATAGTGTGTCTATACGTGTGAGATTTGTGTTAATCTTTGCCATATTCATTAACGAAGATATATAAGAGAGTGAGTGAGTGAGTTAATATTTATCGTCACATCGGCAATATTATATAAAAAGAGAAATAAACATGATGACATTGTACACTTTGCGTCCTATCTTTTCTTTCTGTCCCACATCTTAAACCTGGACCATCACATATATCTAAACCTTGAACATGAGTTATATCTAAACCTGCATCATCAGTTATATCTAAACCTAGATCATCAGTTATATCTAAATCTGGATCATCAGTTGTGTCTAAACCTGGATCATCAGTTGTGTCTAAACCTGGATCATCAGTTATATCTAAACCTGGACCATCAGTTATATCTAAACAAGGATCATCAGTTATATCTAAACCTGGATCATCAGTTATGTGTAAACTTTGATCATCAGTTATATATAAACCTGGATTATCAATTATATCTAATCCTGGACCATCAGTTATGTGTAAACTTTTATCATCAGTTATATATTAACCTTGATCATCAGTTATATCTAAACTTGGACCATCTGCTATTTCTGAACCTGGATCATCAGCTATATCTAAACCTGGATTATCAGTTTTGTCTAAATCTGGATATCAGTTATATCTAAACCTATACCATCAGTTATATCTAAACCTCAATCATCAGTTATATCTAAACCTGGATGATCAGTTATATCTAAACCTGGAATATCAGTTATATCTAAACCTGGATCATGTTATATCTAAACCTGGATCATCAGTTATATCTAAACCTGGATTATCAGTTATATCTAAACCTCGATCATCAGTTATATCTAAACCTGGACCATCAGTTATATCTAAACCTCGATCATCAGTTATATCTAAACCTGGACCATCAGTTATATCTAAACCTGGACCATCAGTTATATCTAAACCTGGACCATCAGTTATATCTAAACCTCGACAATCAGTTATAGCAAAAGCAATATTACTTCTTCAACATTGGTTTGTTTCATCGTTCCTGTCAAACGATCTTCTCTAGTAAGTTGTAACGTTTTATTGATTCCGTCTTCAATGGCAACATCGTCTCCAAGAATTTTCCTTCAGATATCCCAAGACAAGCGTCGCACACGCACACGCACGCACGTGCACGTGCACAGACACACACAAACACACACACGCACGCACACACACACATACACACAACTCTTGTCTTAGGGTATCTGGAGGAAAACTTCAAACATAAAATCAGTCAAATTCTTGGAGAGGATGTTGTCCTTTATTTCATGGATAGTTGGAAAAGATTTTAAGACGACTGTAATTGTTTAGCACGGGGGCCGATATTATCGATCAGCGCGGTTGTAATACGACCCAGGTAGTACACCGCGTGTCATAGACGTTCTCTGTGTAGACCGTATCGCGAAATGCCTCATGTCAGTGATATGATCAATTCTGATATGAAATACGTCCTCTCTTCGAACACTGGGACATGCTTTAGTGGGTTCAGAAATGTAGGCAGTGGTTTGGATTAAAGTAAACAGTATATACCAAACTCAACCTAACGTTCCGCCGACATTACGCAATTGCAGATTGCAACAACTGTTTTTACTGAAGGTATTTACATAACAAAGTGTTGCCTCTTTATTGATAATGTTTACTTTCTAATTCTGCCTTCAATAAAACGAAAATTGCCCCCAACTATCGGTTTACAAACATAAGACACTGATACATTCCTGTACTGTCCTATCCACTATTCCACAAACACATACATGTATACTTTGACTTTCGAAAAATGAACACGTAGAGGTAATACTGACGTGTTAAGGTATAAATGAAAACCAATGTTCATGGCGTGACATATCAGCATTGTGTAAGTCTATAGTATCACCTTACATTCAAACTGGTAATACCCTGACAGATCCCCAAACTGTCTTTGTTCTCAGAAACTGGGTGTGCACCATTGCGCGGTACGATGGCCGTGGATAATTACTTGCTAGGAATCGATTTGTTATGAATGTGTGACCTTTATGTGGATATATTCAAAAGATCTTTTTTTTTGTTATGAACACGTCTGGACCAGTTTGTTAAACACATTTCGTCTGTAACGTGACCTGCCCCAACTGATAGTTCGCGAACAATTTGTAAAATATTTGTAAATGATGTGAAATTTGTCCTACAAATGTGCTGTGCCTTGATTGTTAGCGCTATGAGCATACCTAGTGTGGAGTTTGGCGCTATATAAATGGACACATTATTATTATTATTAGAATCAGGTCTGATTGAGCTTGTAAGGTCATCTCCGTTTTGAGCAGTACCCACGTCATATCAGGGCGTGGCAGATAAGGTGTGAGGGAGGTCAAAGGTTAGACTGTTCGACCATTCGGGTGAAATCCAGTCGTATGTTGCTGACAGATAAAAGACCAATCTTGGATTCAAACCCACGACCAGCAGATCCTGACAAGTTAAATTGGGGTTTTAGGTCTGATATATGTTGTGTCTGTTTATTAAGAGCATTTCAGTGAGGATTCACTTCCGTGTTACATGTATTGCAGGCGAAAACTGGGTACAACTGCCAAGCCCTGATCAGTAGCCCAGGCATTCCATAGAAACGATGGCC